TATATATATATATATATATATATATATATATATATATATATATATGTGTGTTTTTATATATATTTCAGGAACGCTAAATTGTCTAGTTTTTAAAAGTTATGGAAAACGTTTCTTAGAATGTTCAAATACAAATAAATCATAAGGACGTGATAATGCTGACCTCAGAATGTTTTCTCTCAACTTTATGATACCAAATATTAATAAAGAGCGTTTCAAAAGCCGTGAGTGAAAGTTAAGAGAACGTCCCCTGATAACTGGGATAAAGGTTATTGATAAACTGAGCAAAATGTAAGAAAAGAGAAAGTCTGTGTGTTTCTGATGTAAAGCTGCTCCTTAAACCAGCTCGATAGAGTTTAGCTGCATCCTGCTGAATCCACAAAAACAAGATTAAGAAAACAAGCCAAAGTCTTTCATGAAACATGTTATACCTTAAGCTAGTGACATGAAACTTTTCCTGAATTGAGCAGACTGCTAGGCTACGAACAAATAGTGCAGATGTTGGCACAAGTTGCAAAATCAGTGATAGACAGAAATAAAAAGGTCTCAGTGTACTACTGTATCTTTGATTTGATCTGCACAGTTTTGCGGTGTTTTCATCAGTAATGCAGCTAAACTAGAGCACACGTGGAGTCTAATGCTGTGCTGTGTCAACACTGAAGAATAGTTGGATGTCACTGATTTATTGCTGATTTTGTCTGCGGATCAGCAGGTGTTTTGCAGGAACAGCATCAGCTGGACTGTAATACTGTATTCTGTAGTATATTGGCATTTGATTTGATGATGTGTTCAGTGCTGTGTTTAATTCATCACGATAAGTGTAATATGAAATATAAGATGTGGTCAGTAAATACCATTTCTCTGCCTCTGACAGGCTAAAGATCAGGAAATGCTCCTGAATCAGCTGATGTGGAGGACAGCTGTCAATCAAAACATCCGCACAAACTCAGGTGCGAGACGGAACTCACATCCATTCTCCTCAGAATTACAGTAATTACACACAAGACCACGAGATGCAAGTTATTATGGTCAGACGTCACTAGTAGTAGCTGGTAGTGATCTGATGAAACCTCAAGCACTAAGGAGAGGCTCTTTTTCGCCGTGGCAACCACTTAGACTATGCTCTGTGTGTGTGTTATGTGTATGATTGTGTGTTTGTGCAGATATGGCTGAGTTTCGTGAGATCTTCTCAAAGACACGACACATCGCCGTCATCACAGGAGCAGGAGTCAGTGCTGAGAGTGGCGTACCCTCCATCAGAGGAGCCGAGGGACGCTGGAGGAGCTGGAAAACACAGGACACACACTAACACACACACACACTCATACACACACTCATACACTCATACACACACACACACTAACCCACACACACTCATACACACACTCATACACTCATACACACACACACACTAACCCACACACACTCATACACACACTCATACACTCATACACACACACACACTCATACACACACACACTAACACACACACACTCATACACACACTCATACACACACACACACACACACTAATGATTTTGAGAACTGATTTTTTTCTTTACGTTTCCTTTAATAAAATTGAATCCTATTTTAATTATTTGTAACTTTTATTTATTCTTTACTATGCTTCTATGTTGCACATGGAAAAATAAAAATAAGTTAATGTATAAATAAATCTATAAATAAATGTGGGATTGTGGGAATAAATTAATACAAATGAATAAAAATGCATGAATAAATATAAGAATAAACTAAAAAATAAATAAAAGAATAGGTTAAAAATAATAAAAAAATTTTTTTTGTAATTATTACAGAAAATTCTAAAATAAAGGTTAAGTGATCGTCTAAATAAGTTTTTGCTACTAAGTACACAATGATTTTGATAATTTATTTTTCTTTGTGTTTCCTGTTGTATCTTCTGTGTAGGAGGGTACAAAAGAGCTCTGCCTCAGCAAGATGCTCTCTGTGTCAATGGACGGGCCAAGTGTTAACTGGAAGTTTGTGCAGCTCTTACAGCAAGAATACAGTGAACAGTTTGGTGGAGTTCAGATTCAGATTGTGGGAAGCTGCGGTCTTCACATAATGCACAACTCTATCGTCAGATGACAGATGTCCCTCCAGGACTGCATTTGAGGAACCCCGTGTCACGGTTCGTTACTGTGAGGAGCACGGAGCGAGGAACGAGGAGACGCAGAGTCAAATTCAAACATATAGACATAAATCATATCCAGGGAACCAGGAAAACACACGCAGCAAGGGTAGACATATACAGACATTCACAATTCCGGACAAGGGAAATTCAGAAACACAGGGTTTAAGTACAGGGGAAATAATGGGACACACCTGGGAACAAATGAACTAAATGACAGGAACGGCAAGGAGCCCTCCATGGGCTAAACTCGGGAACAGGAGCCCTCTTTGGGCTGGATTCAAGGGCTGGAGCCGACACTGGAGCGAGCTCTGGGGCTGGAGCCGACACTGGGCTAAACTCGGGGACTGGATCCTTCTCTGGGCTAAACTCGGGGACTGGAGCCATCACTGGGCTAAACTCGGTAACAGGAGCCCTCCAAGAAAGGAAACCTCAGAGAACAGTACAAAATAATAAAAAAGGCAGTTCATTTCCCTTTAAAACATGGAAAAACCTGAAATTTACTATGGTATATTGTGCATGTAGTTTATATTTTAAATTGTTAAGCTAAATCAATGAGTTTATAAGACCCCTTTAATCT